AAACTTCTGGGCAGAAGCAGTTCACACTGCATGCTATTTGGTGAACAAGTGCATGATCAGGCCCCTCCTGAACAAGACTCCATATGAACTGTTGAACGGAAAGAAACCCAAGCTAACACATTTGAGAACATTTGGCTGCAAATGTTTTATTCTTAACAATGGTAAAGAAGCTCTTGAAAATTTGATGCCAAAAGTGATGAAGAAATCTTTTTGGGCTATTCATCACAAAGCAAAGCATACAAAGTCTACAACAAAAGAACTCAATGTGTTGAGGAAAGCATACATGTGATCTTTGATGAATCACACCACCTACGTGGGAAAGATTCACATGATAAGATTGATCAAGACGGAGAGTAGTCAACAGTCCCTGGTGAAGTCATTGATATGGCAAATGGAAAGGCTGACATGATGAGCTACGTCAAGGAATCAAATGATGATGATGCAGCGGTCTCTCCAGCGGATGTAGAGGAACCTGGTTCCTCAATCACAACAACTGAAGTTGAGAACAGAGTTGTTGATGCTGTGCAAGGAACCCCAGATTATAAGCTGAGAAATGGGACTCACATCAACCATGGGTCACATACAGAAGTACCTGGACCCTCTCACAATGAGATTCAGGTGTCTAACTGGAAGCACAAAAGCTCACACCCTCTTCAAAATGTGATCACTCATCTCGACTCAGGGTTTCAAACTAGATCGAAGTCGAGAAACCCACTTGCCTTCTCAGCCTTTCTCTCTCAAGTTGAGCCCAAAATATCAAGAAAACATCAAAAGATGCTGACTGGATTACTGCTATGCAAGATGAACTCCATCAATTTGAGAGGAACAACGTATGACCTGGTTCCTCGACATGTTGACAGAACTGTTATAGGAACCAAGTGGGTATTCAGAAACAAACTTGATGAGTTTGGGAACACAACAAAGAACAAGGCAAGGCTGGTAGTTCAAGGGTACAATCAAGAAGAAGGGATTGACTATGATAGAACTTTTGCCCCAGTTGCTCGAATGGAGGCCATCAAAATCCTTATTGCATTTGCATCCCATATAGATATCAAATTGTTCCAGGTGGATGTCAAAAGTGCATTTCTGAATGGCTTTCTAAAAGAAGAAGTCTTCGTCAAGCAACCCCCTGGCTTCGAATATCATGAGCATCCTGAGCATGTTTTCAAACTCGACAAGGCCTTATATGGGTTTAAGCAGGCTCCTTGTACATGGTATGAAAGGTTGTCCAAATTTCTCCTCAAAAATGGTTTTACAATAGGAAAAATTGACAATACCTTATTTCTGAAGAAACGGGGAGAAACCTGCTCATTGTGCAAGTTTATGTTGACGACATCATCTTTGGTGCAATAAATGATTCTCTGTGTGAGGAGTTTGCAAAGCTCATGGGAAGTGAGTTTGAAATAAACATGATGGGGGAATTGAATTTCTTCTAGGCTTGGAAATCAAGCAAACTTCTAAGGGCACAATGATAACTTAGCAGAAGGACATCAAAGAGCTTCTGAAGAGATTTAAAATGGAAAGCTCAAAAGTCATAGACACTCTTATTGCCACTGCCACTCGACTGGATATAGATGAACCTGGTTCCCCTATGAACGAGACCATGTACAAAGGTATCATTGGGTCATTCTTGTATCTCACAGCAAGCAGACCAGATATCATTTTCAGTGGGGGACTATGTGCCAGGTTTCAATCAAATCCAAAGGAATCTCATCTGAAGGTTGCCAAGAGAATCCTGAGATATCTAAAGGGAACGCATGACCTGATTCTCTACTATATCTCAGGAGATAACTTTGACTTGATCGGGTATGCTGATGCTGATTATCCTGGTTATCTGGTGGACAGGAAAAGCACTTCTAGCATGGTACACTTTCTGGGTTCGTGTCTAATTTCATGGGGTACAAGAAAATAAAATTCAGTGGCTCTTTCAACTGCAGAAGCTGAATATGTGGTGGCTGCCTCTTGTTGTGCTCAACTGCTGTGGATCAAGTAGCAACTAGAAGATTTTGGTGTGTTTTCTAATTGTGTGTCGTTACTATGTGACAACACCAGTGCTCTCAACATGGCAAAGAACCCAGTTCAGCATAAGAGAACAATCCATATTGATGTGCGACATCATTTTCTCAGAGATAATATTTAAAAGAGGCTTATCTGCATGAAGCTCTGCAGCATAGAAGATCAAATTGTAGACCTCTTCACCAAAGCACTGAGCAGAGAGCACTTTGAAAAGAATCGTCTTGCACTAGGGTTGATAAAACCAAGTTGAGGACCTGGTCCCTCGATGAGTGGCTATGAAAGAAATGTACAGGTGAAATTACTAAAAAGTATTTCTGGTAAGGTCTAACTCATTTCTATACTGTTACAGGTAGACACGCATGACGATTACAGAGCAAACAAGGAGCTAATATATTGCATCTTCGCAAAAGGATGAGGATCACATCTACAAAATCTGTTAGGGAACCTGGTTCTTACGACACAGGTTAGTAGTTCCTTTTGTGCTCTCATACACAACTTTTTAAATAGCTAAAAAAGGTGCCACATCATTAAATTGTCAGCTTCTTTTCTTTGGAACCCAAGCATCCTACCCGTTACAAAACGACCTGTCTACCCAGAAAATCAAGACCCGTTCCCAACCGGTCCCTCACCCCCTTTTAATAAACCCAAACTCTGTCACTCTCACCACTGTTCACATCAAAAACCAAAATTTCTCTTTTTCTCTCAACAACCAAACACTCTCTTATTTAATAAACTCTCATCACACTCTATCATGTCTGAGAATCTCGAACCCTCAAATGTCCCCAGTGTCGTCCCCACTGTATTTTCATCTTTTGAAGAACCAGTGACAGAGTCTAATTACCTTACGCCATCCAGTCCAAACCCTAAGAAAGATTCCCAACCACCCACTGCCTCTTCTCCACCCCAATCAAGTTCTGCTTCTCATCGGAGTCACAAAACTTCGAATCCCAAGAGGTTTGTGGCTACAACCCCCTATGCCTCGCCGAACAAAATGGCTGAGGGAGAAGAAAATCAGGAAGTTTTCAGTCTGCATTTAGAAGAGAGTTCTGAGGCACAACAAAGTGTGGTTAACATAATGACTACCCTAAGTCTCGATTTGAATGCTGCAGATCTTACAGGTAATATTCCTTATGTGCCTTCTGAGTTTCCTTTGGGGTTAGAAGAACAATATGCCATAGAAAATATGTTGTCAATAGCTGTTGAGGGGTGTGTGGATGGTTGCTATGAACGTGTGTCTAAAACCAATGGGTCTCAGGGGGAATGTGAGAGTCTACAGGAAGAGGGTAGGGAACTAGTGCCTATCGAAAATTTGGCACCTGAAAGTACTACTGAGGAACCACTCGAGGGACCTGATCCCTTCGCCCAAAAAGAGTCCTCTGCTCCTACTTGGGATGAAACCCCCTATTCATCAAAAGAACCCCAGGTTAGTACTGATCCCGCTCCCTCTCCTCACTGAGCCATTGGCCATTGTTGCTCCCGAGATGATATCTCTGTCTGAGGAGGAGAATGACGGTAGTGAAGAAGACTATGATAATGTGGCTCTTGCAAGCTTTATTAGTGCTAGGAGTAGCAGGGCAACTCCCAAAATACCCACTGCTAAAAGACCTACTACTAGGCTGCAACAGAAGAAGGCTCTTGAGTCAGCTCTGAAGAAAAATAAGAAAGAAAAGAAGAGGAGAAGGTTGGTGAAGGGTGGAAAGTTACTACATGAAGAGGTAGTGCCTACAACTCTTATTGTGGACATTGATGACGAGGTAGATGAGGAACCCAGTCCCTTAATCCGTAAGTCCTATGCTGATTTTTTCACAGTCGAGGATGACAACATCTGTATGAAGGTGAATGGGGTTGATTTTGTGTTGGATGAAGCTGTGTTGGAAACCATCTTGGGTGTGCCTACTGACGGAATATCCTCCATTAGGGGACTTGTTCGTCAAACTTCAGAAATGTCATTCTGAAGAATGGTGCAGTGCAGCAGGGGGAACGGATACACAAGAAGGCCCTCATTCCAGTGTATCAGCTGTTATTTGAGATGGTGAACAAGGTGTTGCTCCCTCGTACAGAAAGGCATTCTATTATGTCTCGAGCAGACTTGTTCCTCATGAAAGCACTAGATGCTTATTCCACTATTAATCTGTCGGGTATCATAATTGAGCACATGAAGAAAGTGGCAGATTTCAAAGATGGGAATCATGGGCTACCCTACGGGTTTCTAATTACCAAAGTTTTTGAGTTCCTCAAAGTCCCTTTGGGAAAGGCTACGGTGGGTACTCGCAAGCAGAGCTTCTCCAAAACCACCTTAGAAGAGTATGAGTGCATCGATAAGAAAGGAGGGGTTGGCAACAATTCTACTATCTCTCAACTAATTGAAGCTCAAAATACTGCTAATGAAGAGATAAGGAAGTTGAAGGCAAGGAATGTTATCCTTGAGGGATAACTTAGTCAGGCCCAGGAGGCACCAGGTTCCAGCAGCTCACAAAGCACAGAGGTTGCCCGTCTGACCAACAAGAATGCTGATCTCAGGAAACAGGTCGAGGAACTGAAGGAGAGATTACTCACTGAGCAAGGGTCTGCTAATGCTCGAATGAATATCCTCCTTAGAACTCTTGCATCTTCATCGCTGCCTCCCCCTTCCAGTGCTCCTGATAAACCATTTCCTTCATAGTGTCAAGTTCTAGTGTCTTTCTGTTTTGGTATTCTAAAGTTGGATATGTTTAGTGGCTGGTACTCTTTTTTTGCTATTTTTATTTTGTGGAATGATTATGCAATAAATGGAACTGCTCCCTGTTTATTTTCAAAATTAATGAATATCCCGTCCTTTTGCTATGCTTATCTTGCCTTCTTTCTTGCTATGTTTTTAGTCATATTTGTGTGCACACAAGTGGCATGAGTTAATCAGGCTAGACTTTTTTTTGCTTATTGCCTGTCACTAATCTTTTTATGATGCCAAAATGGGAAAAATTAATTGAGGGGGAACAAGCACAGTCTGAGAGAGAATTTCAATTACAAGTTTGTCATTATCAAAAATGGGTAAATTGATAAGTTATGTGTCTTGCTATATTTTGATGATTTAAGAACTTTGTTGAGAACCAGATGAGGAACCTGTTCCACATTCTCTGAGTGCTCAAAGATCAACAAGTCTCAAGTTTGGGACATGTTCCAACATTCAGAGTCCAAGAAATATTAGAGAGAATAGATCGATATCAATTCCCTTGCTCACAGTACCAGTCAACTCCCCACAGCTGTAAAGTGACTGCAACTGTTCCTCTGCACACACCCAATAGTGCAAACAGTGGAGCAGTCACTTTATGGGAAATGCCTTTGTACCAAACATGCTTGCATCATTCAAGTGATGTCACTTATGTAATATTAACATGAAGCAAAGTAAAAACAACATACTTGCACACTCTAGAATTGATCAAGCTCTCTCTCAAGTGTATTGCCAACCTGCAAGTGACATTCAAGGCGTCAAGAATAAAGAACAACATAATGAAGGACGAGTTTCCTGCATTGAGTCATCATATGTCCTTAGTTGTGTAGCATCTTTGTCAAAGTGATTTACTTGTAATTCCTACTTAGCTTAGTTAGAAGCATTGTGTAGAAAACCTTTGTAAAATCATAAACCATGTGTTTGTGTCTTGGCTAGAGTTAGTCGAATTGTAAGCTTTGTAATAGAGTTATTACAAAGGGGCTTGTAATAAAGTTATTACAAGTTAGTGAGGGATTAAGAGGTTAATTCCTAGGTTACAATAGTTTGTAATATGAAGTTTGCTCACTAGTGAAGTTGAAATCCTACAAGGGTAGGTCGTGGTTTTTAATCCCTTGAGCTGGGAGTTTTCCACGTAAAACTCTATCGTGTTATTTATTTACAGTTGTATGAGTGTGTTCTGTGGGAATTAATAGAGAACCTGGTTCTCTATATAAGTTTGGTGGACCCTCAGTGTCCATCATAGAGCTATATTAAAAACATTCTTATATACGTTATGTCTAAACATGCCACACTAGAAACATCATGCATGGGGTGACGCCATATATTTTGAGGCTATTCTTTGTTTGATAGATCCAACTATTAATTATGTTCGGTATTTATAATGTGAGTTACAATAGTGTAGAGGAATAGAAATATCATATTTACATATTCTATCAATAACAATTTCAGTTTCAAAATTACAAATGTCATTTTACATGTAGATATCGTTTGGGTGGCTTAAGACCGTAAGTATTTCCTTTGATTATCCGATCCGTATGTGTAAGTTAAACTCACAAAAAACTAGTAAGAATAGGGTTTCTTATTGGGCGGATCGAGCGGATATTTACGCTTAACGATTCGGCTTATCGGTTATCGGTTTATAAATATATTAATCCACTAACCATCCAATAAGACATTGGGTGGATTGATATCGAATTATCGATAATCGAATGGTATTTATGGGCTAAATCAAATAGACAATAAAATAGAAGTAGAAAACTAAAGAATTTGCCTGACTTCACTTTCAATAGTCCATGGTCGACTACAAAGTAAGGGTGATTTTGAGATAGAACCAGAAATACAGTCCACCCTATTAATCATTACGCTGTATTTACAAACAATTATGTTACAAGGACTTTTCATTTGTCTAGATTTACCACGCCGAATGGGTGTAATATAAGTATGGATTTTGAGGTTTTGAACTGGAAAGAGACGAGCAGATTCGGAGTCGTGGTCGGCGTTCGTAACTCGTATTGAAGAGAAGAGCCAAGCGCAAAAGCTTCAGCCTTCAAGAGAGAGACTAGAGACGACTGCTGCGGGCTGCTACTGCTAGTGTTGAATTGAGAAATTAGGGATTTAGGGTTTCAAGTATTAATTTATATATATAGGGGTAAAAGTGTGAATATAAATTTTTTTAATGGGTTAACGATTTATCCGATAAAGAAAATTGAGTAATTCGCTCCCAAATCATTAAGCCGTTAATTATAAAATTTTAATTTGTCCATCAATCATTACTTCGATAACACAATATCAAGAAGCCAATAAGTCATTTTTGCGTTTCGGTTAACGATTACGATTCGATTTTGAACGGCTTAAATAAGTATGCAATTACCGCCCACGGGTGAGGAGAGGCGTTCGGTGCATTTTAATGTCTTCAATTCAGCAGGATTCTCTCTTTCTAAGAAAGAGGGAAAATGAAGAACAAACTTAAGAGTGGATTAATTGAAATTTTTGAGAAGTGGTTAATACTTAGAGCCCGTTTGGACATAAGAAATTTTTCCCTTCTTTTCAAAAAATTTTCACTTTTTTCGAAATGTGCGTTTATTCATAAAATTTCCAATTTTCGTTTGAAAATGCATTTTGAAATTTTTTTGAAATTTTGAAAAACTTCAAAAAACTGTTTTTCAAAATTCACTCAGATTACTCACAAAACTTCAAAAACAACCCAAAATTATATTCATGTCCAAACACAACTCTAATTTTCAAATACCATTTTCACTTAGAATTTTTTTTCACTTTTTTGGAATTTTACAATTCTTATGTTGAAACGCCCACTTAGTCTCATTATCTCATATAAGATGTCTAGCCTTTGGAAAGATCACACAAATGGAATTTTGGTACGTATGACGTATCTGTGTACGAACGATAAACATGGAAATCATTATCATTACTATTTTATTTTCAGTTGAATATAATTCTTTTGTGAAGCATAATAGCTTTTAAGAAGGCCTAACTCCATCCAAAAAATTTATGTCTGAGATAAGGAAGATTGTTCAAGACGAGACCATCATCCTATCCATAGCATATATAGGTGAAAAATAAACTGTGCATCAACCTAAAGACTAACGATATAAAAGAGACAAGCTACAATAACATTTCCTGACAATTTATTGTGAGAAATTAAGTGTAGGTTTAGACATTTTCGGGGAGCAATACTAGTGAGGTAATTAGAATTTAGAAGTACTTAGTTTGAACAAATTGAATAATAGAATTTTTAAACTTTTTTTCGTAGAAAGAATATTCAGTCGCTGGGATATTCATGGTCCTTAATAAACCCTAGGGATCAGTGACAAGGTTTCTTTCTAGGGTTTCGTATATTAATGATCATTTTCGCCGTTCCTATAACTGACTCAAAGAATATAATTTATCTGCTTTCAACGTGAACTTTCTGTTCACCAATATAATTGTAGGTAAATCATTATCAAGAAAAGGGATTCGGAACAAATTCAGACTAAGAGAAGAAAAGGAAGAGGATTGAAACCTGGAGCTTGAGAGAAAATGAGCCATTGACGACCGAGAATGATATAACTTTTCTCTACTTCATGCGCAGATGAATTTTGATGGTGCTTTGAGTCTGAAAGAAAGAGCACAAAATTAATGAAAAGAGAAGAGAGGAAGTTGTGTCGTGTGGGGGAGAGCTAAGGAAGGAGAGAGTTTGTACGTACGTTTAGAGTTGAGATAGTGAGAGGGATATTGATGGATAAAGACAGATCCAGAATTTAAACTTTTACGATTTTTAGTAGTGAACGTAACTCATTATATTTTTCAAGTTATAAGTTCATATTTACTAATATTTGTTACAATATTATTAAATATATATATATATACATAAATTTATGTTACACGTCAAAAGATATCATAATAATGTTTGCATGATGAACGTGTGATTATCAGAATTAGACTGAACATCACTAATAATTAATCATTATGATATATGTAATGTAGCTAGCTAGCTAGCAGAAACAACGTACGTAACAACGTTACTAGTTTCCCATTATATGTAGTTTGGTGTGGTTGTGAGGAGTGTGGAAGCTTCCTCCTCTAGCATCAGTCACCCTCACACTCCAAAACCAAAACAAAATTATATTACACACATGAAGAAAGAAGAACCTCACACGTTGTGACTATATTATTAATTATTCCACGTCAATGTATAAGTTGGTCAATGTGTGATAATGGGTGGAGATAATTATTATACATGCGCTATGTAATATTTCAACACTATCAATTGTAGCAGTTAATTTGTCTTATTTTTTAAATTATAAAATTTAATATTTTAAACTCGATAATAAATAAACTAGTTACTTATAATAGATTATTTATCAATTTTCTTGCATGCGATGCTTCCCATATATATATATACTATACTCATATAGCTTCTTGGTAATTAATGACCTTAATTAGTTCGATATATATAGGACCAATTAAATTAAGAAATGATATCCACATGCATTAGGAAAAACTCAAAGTGCTTTGTTTTATTCACTTGTATTATTCATGAGTATCACGTTCACGAGATAACTATTTAGTTTTTGAGAAATAAGTTTACAAGAATTGTATTGACAAGGCAAACAAATATAGTGATGAATTATAAGCAACATATATATATATATATATATATATNAGAAACGCCTCGCAGCAGCTTCCTTTCTTCTATAAATAGAGGAGTTTTCAGTTCATTATATATGTACATCAATTTGAAGTTGAATAATATATCAGTTTCTCTCTATACTTATCTTTACTTTTACAGTCTTTATTTTATAATACGTTATCAGCACGAGACTGCCATCTCGAGCAACTACTTTGAAAGTATTAGATGTACGAACTTTCTTTTTCTCAATAATGTCAAATATTTCTAAACTTGAATTTGTAGCCCTAGATATATCAGGCAAAAGCTACATGTCTTGGGTGCTTCATGCTGAAATTTATCTTGATGTGATAGGTCTGGCAGACACCATCAAGGACAAAAATCAAGCATCAAATCAAGATCATGCCAAAGCAATGATATTCCTAGGCCATCACCTTGATGAGAGCTTGAAAATGGAATATCTTACTGTTAAAGATCGAGTCATACTGTGGAATAATTTGAAAGATAGATATGACCACCTGAAGATGATCGTTTTTTCACAGGCACGATATGATTGGACTCATTTAAGGCTACAAGATTTTAAATTTATTAGTAAGTATAATTCTGCTATGTTCAGAATTATTTTTTAATTGAAATTATCTGGTGATAATATTACTGATCATGATATGTTGGAGAAAACTTTCACCGCTTTTCATGCCTCGAATATGCTCATGAAGCAGCAATATTGAGAGATGGGATTCAAAAAATATTCTGAACTTATCTCACATCTTCTTGTAGCCGAGCAACATAATGGGCTATTAATGAAAAATCATGAAAGTCGACCTATTGGTTCTTGTCCATTCCCTGAGGCGAATGAGACAAACTTCTACCAAGCTAAGCATGTAAGAGGTCATGGCCCCAGTCGTGGTCATGGTCGTGGTCGGGGAAGAAACTCTAATCATGGTAATAATAATACACCAAAGAACCCTCCTCACCACCAGTAGTAGAAAAGGAAGGAACAAAAGAATGAAGCGGTGCAAGAAATAAATACAGAAAATGCATGCTATAGATGTGGAGGAAAATGGTATTGGTCACGTACCTGTCATACGCCAAAGCACCTGGTTGAGCTTTATCAAGCCCCCCTGAAGAAGACAGAGAAAAATGTTGAAGCAAATTTTATTTCTGAATATAATTTAGACTTCATGCATTAGGATTAGCTGGTTACTTTGCACTCCCAGAAGGAGAAACAAGTCATGTGATCGGTGATGAATCTGTAGAAATGTAAATATTTTAATTTTGTTGTTTGTAGTAGATAGTATGGTTATGTAATTTTTGTACATAAATAAAAAAGTTATGCTTTGATAGTGATGTTTACTATAATATATTTTGTTTATGTCATTTTGAAGAATATGGATAATTTTCAAATTATGTTTGGATCAAAGACCAATCATGAAGATATTTGTGTAATTGATAGTGGAACAACTCATGCCATATTCAAAGATGAGAAATACTTTTCTTATGTGCATAAGGAAAAAACAAATGTTTCAACAATTTCTGGTAATATAAGTTTGATTGAAGGCTCCGGAAGAGCCACTATATTTCTGTCTAAGGGAACAAAACTTATTATAGACAATGCATTGTTCTCCTCCAAGTCCCGAAGAAACTTGTTGAGTTTTATAGATATCCGCCGAAATGGGTATCATGTTGAGACAATAGATGAAATGAACATGGAATATCTTTGTATTACAAAGAATATTTCTGGCCANTTGAGTTTTATAGATATCCGCCGAAATGGGTATCATATTGAGACGATAGATGAAATGAATATGGAATAACTTTCTATTACAAAGAATATTTTTGGCCAAAAGTGCATTGTAGAAAAATTATCAACTTTATCTTCTGGCTTATACTATTCAAAGATTAGTACAGTTGAAGCAATCTCTATCGTAAACTAGAAGGTTACTGATTCAAATACTTTTGTGCTTTGGCATGGCCGTTTGGGACATCCTGGATCAATAATGATGAGACGGATTACTGAAAATTAGAGTGGGCATCCATTAAAGAACCTGAAGATTATTACAAATGATGAATTTTCTTGTGATGCTATTTATCAAGGCAAAATGATCACTAGACTATCACCAATGAAGGTTGGCATTGAATCCCTTGCCTTTTTAGAGCGTATACATGGGGATATATGTGGACCTATTCACTCACAAGTGGGTTGTTTAGATATTTTATGGTCCTAATAGACGCATCTTCAAGATGGTCTCATGTGTGCTAACTATCATCTCGTAACTTGGCGTTTGCAAATCTATTAGCCCAAATAATTCGATTAAGGGAACAATTCTAAGATTATCCTATAAATGTTATTCGCTTTGATAGTGCTGGAGAATTCTCATCTCAAGCTTTTGATGATTACTGTCTATCAGTTGGGGTAAAAGTTGAACATCTTATACCTTATGTTCATACTCAAAATGGCCTTGCATAGTCATTTATTAAACGCCTGCAATTGATAGAAAGACCACTACTTATGAAAACAAAATTGTCCACTACTGTTTGGGGCCATGCTATCTTGCATACAACATCACTTATCCGTCTCATACCGACACATTATAATACATATTCTCCATCACAATTAGTTTTTGGTCAAGAACCAAATATTGCCCATCTACGAATTTTTGGATGTGTTGTATATGTGCCAGTAGCACTACTACAACGCAGTAAGATGGGCTCCCAGAGAAGGTTAGGAATATATGTTGGGTTTGAATCACCCTCTATTATTCGCTATCTTGAACCATTGATAAGAGATTTATTTACTACTCAATTTGCATATTGTCGGTTTGATGAAACTAACTTCCCACAATTAGGGGAAGAGAAAAAGAAAATCAAAAGAGAAATTGTGTGGAAAGTTTCATCATTATCCTATTTTGATCCATGTATCCCTATATACAATCAGGAGGTCCAGAAGATCATCCATTTATAGAATATAGCAAATCAAATGCGAGACGCATTTACTGATTTGAAAAGGATAACTAAATCATATATCCCTGCAGAGAATGCACCTATCCGAATTAATATGCCAGCACGACCATCTAATAACATGAGAGCTAGTGAACCTAATGCACGCTTGAAGCGTGGTAGGCATTTGGGTACTAAGGATCGAAATCCTCGAAAAAGAAAATCGACAAATGATCAAAACGATACTATAAAGGGATCTCCTGAAGAGACCCAAGATGCGATTAGTTCTGAGATTCCTGAAGAAATCAATGAACCCGAGACTCAAGTGAGCGAGGAACTTTTAATAAGTTATACTGGTGTTGGGATTAATTTAAATCGATCTGAAATAGTAGTAGATAGTATTTTTGCATATAATGTTACACTTAACATTATGCAAGATAGTGAGGATTTTGAACCCCGATCTGTCGAAGAATGTCGACAAAGATTTGATTGGACAAAAATGGCAAGGGGCAATTCAATAAGAATTGAATGCACTTGCTAAAAGATAGGTCTTTGGACTAGTAGTCCAAACACCTGCTGATATAAAATCAGTTGGTCATAAATGGGTTTTTGTGCGAAAAAGGAATGACAAAAATGAAGTTGAAAGATACAAGGCTCGCCTTGTCGCACAAGGATTCTCACAACGGCCTGGAGTCGATTATGAAGAAATATATTCACCCAATTAGCCTTACGTGAAAGGCTTGAAATACATCTGATGGACGTGGTTACAGCTTGTCTGTACGGGTCACTTGATAATGAGACTTATATGAAAATCTCCGAAGGATTTAAAATGCATGAAGCAAATTCAAAATCTCGAGAAATGTATTCAATCAGATTATAAAGATTTTTATACGGTGTAAAGCAATCTGGGTGCATGTGAATATTTATACCTTAGTGAATATTTGTTGAAAGTGGGTTACATAAATGATGTTATTTTTTCATGTATTTTTATAAAGAAAATGGCATTAGAATTTGTTATACTTGCTGTTTATGTCGATGATATAAATCTTGTTAGATCTCCAGAAGAGCTCCAAAAGGCAATTGAATATCTTAAGAAAGAATGTGAGATGAAAGATCTTGGAAAGACAAAACTTTGTCTTGGTCTG